AGAGAGAGAGAGAGAGAGAGAGAGAGAGAGAGAGAGAGAGAGAGAGAGAGAGAGAGAAAGAAAGAAAGAAAGAAAGAAAGAAAGAAAGAAAGAGCTGAATTCCTTGAAAGCTTGACAGTGTAGGTATCATATACATTCTAAAACCACACAACTCAGTGTATAAAATGGACAGGCTCTACCACGGCAACCAGGAGGAGTCTGATTTTTCCCAAATTCATTCTGTTATCCCCACGGCCTGAAACTTAAGAATAACGGTGCACACACAGATTTGGGCCCAAATTTATGTGGAAATGAAAAAGAGCCATGTACATTAGGAGGGGAAACTGAGGCAGGCCACAAAAGGACGGGTCCACAAGGAGGACGTCTGGCCCAGGGCTCCCTCAGGAGGCTCAGAGATGCCAAGAGTTCAGGAGGTCACACAGCACCAAATGCTGCAATGGTTATTGGCGGCCCTGGTTGGCATCAGGAAGTGGCTGGGAAGGCATTTGCACCGTGAGGGTCAGTCTCAGGGGGCAAGTTGCCACCGGGCAGCAGGTCACCCGAGTCATCGCCGTTGAGGGAAAGCCATGGGGCTAAGAGAGAAGAACAGAGGTCAGAATCTGTAACCAAAGTCGCACCTGCCCCCCACACCATGAGGGCCCCTCTCTGGTCTCTGTCCCATCTCTCCCTCCTGCCTTTCTCTCTGGTCTCTGTCACCCCCCTCCCCTCCCTCCCGCGCACCTGGCAGCCCACTGCGCATCCTGTTCCACACCAGCACGCCCCCTGCAGCAGCCACTAGGACCACCAAGAAACCAAGAATGATTCCGACCACAGGCACAGAAGATCTGACTGGTGAACCTGCACCCAGAAAATGTTATGAAGACGGGGAAAGAAGCAGCTGATGGGTCCCACAGAGGGCCCCCCTCTCGCCAGCATGTCTGAGGGTGGGGGTGTGCAGAGGAAGTCCCTGGGCCCCACGTTCCCACACTGGATATAAGAACCAGCCACAGTGGAGCTGGAGAGATGGCTCAGCTGTTAAGAGCGCTGAGGACCTGGGTTCAGTTCCCAGCACCCACATCCAATGCCAGGAGAGCTGACGGAAATCCAGGCCGACAAGATGGCTCAGTGAGCAGAAACATTTGCCTTCGCTGTAACTGAGTTTGATTCCAGCGACTGACGTGGCGGAAGGAGAGAACTGACTCCCACAGGCTGTCCTCTGACCTCACAAGTGTGCCACGACACAGGAACTCCTCTACTGCACCCTCCCACATAAAATGTAGGGAAATTAATGTACATGCATACGCTAGGATCAGAGTGGTACACCGACACCACCTGCCTAACCAGGAACAAAATAGCCGTACTGAGAGAACACAGCCACACTGCTAGTGGGCTAGGGTAGAGCCCAGCTGAGGAAAGAGCAGAACTAAAGAGGTGAGGGCCAGCTGCAGCAAGATGCTGAGCAGCAAAAGTGGATGTCAGAAGCCATGAAGCCCAGCAACAGCAAGACGGGAGATGGTCAGACTCGGGAGGTCCAGCCACGGGGTTAATGCAGAGTCAGGAGACAGAAGAAGCCAGACACGAAGGCTGGAGGGACAGCCTCACCTAGGTCCACGGTGAGAGGCTGCAGCAGCCCCTCGTGTTCCACCTCACACTGGTAATGATGTTCATCTCCTCTTTTGACCTCCAGCAATGACCAGGCATGGAAGGAGCCGTCACCATTGGGGCCGATGCTGCTGTTCCCAGTGCCTGCAGCCAGCCCACTCCTCAGGAATCGGAGCTTCAGCTCAGGTGGGTAGAAGGAGAAGGCAGCACAGGTCAGTATGGAGGAGCCCGAGTTGGAGTCGCTAGGACGGGCCTTCAGGCGCATGGAGGGTGGCTCTGTGGGGAGATGGGATGAGCCAGCAGTCAGCTGGGCTGTCACCCCTCAAGGGCATGCACGGATACCCACTTCTGACCCCACCAGGACACCCCTTCTTCCCCTCCCACCCTTGCTCTGGTGTGTATGTGGCTATGCAGGGGTGGAGGCCAGAGCTCCAGAGCAGCTGTCCTCCTCCTCTGCTCCTGCCTTTCCCCTTTATTTCCACTCTCTGTGGAAGGGTGTTTTTTTGGCATGTGTGTCTGTGTACCACATGCACACAGTGCCCACAGAGGCCAGAAACAGACATCAGATCCCCTAGAACTGGAGTTACAGATTGCTGCGAGCTACCATGTGGGTGCTGGGAATTCAGGTCTCATGAATAGCAAGTCCAGCTCTAGAGAGGCAAGTGCTGGAGAGGTGGCTCAGTGGTTAAGGGCACTGGCTGCTCTTCCAGAGGTTCTGAGTTCAATTCCTAGCAACCACATGGTGGCTGATGGCCATCTAAATGAGATCTGGTGCCCTCTGCGGGCATGCATGTTTACATACATAAATAAATCTTTAAAAGGAAAAAAGTTTGAGGCCAGCCTGGGTTACACAAGACCCTGAATCAACAGTAATAAACCCCCCTAGCAATAAACCTCCCTACACAAAGCTACAGTCCACGGGGATCTGAGAACCCAGCAGGGCTTGCCGGGCAGATGGGCAGATTCCCTCCATCCGGGGTGGGTCTGTTTGGGTCCCCAGCTGCAGGTACTCAGCAGAAAATAAGCTGACAGTTTCTTAGGAAGAGGAAGCCAGGCAGCTTCCCTGAAAGAGGGGCCTCACTGGCAGCTGGTGAGACCTGGGGCACCATCAGCTCTGCCACAGAAGACCGGACCTAGGTCAGCAGTTCTGTGTCCTGCCGGGTTGCTATTGTTTTCTAGGGAAGATGACTTCCTGTGGGTGGTGCTGAGTGAGGGACACCCATGTTCCTCCTGTTTTCCAGGGTTGACTGAGAGTCAGCCCAGCCTTGGCTTCTGCTTAACAGGAAAAAGGAAGCCTTTTAACCACCAGAGACACTAAGCCGGGAAGCCTGTGAGCCTGGCAGCCAGGTGGCTGAGGCAGAGGGATCACAGGTTCAAGGCTTAAACCACGGAGTAAGTTCAAAACTAGCCTGGTGGCTGGGCAGTGGTGGCGCACGCCTTTAATCCCAGCACTTAGGAGGCAGAGGCAGGGGGATCTCTGTGAATTCCAGGCCAGCCTGGTCTACAGAGAAAATTCAAAGACAGCTAGGGCTACACAGAGAAACCTTGTCTCAAAAAAAAAAAAATCTTTTAAAGTAAAATTTTAAGAGGTGTGCTGGGTGGGAGAGCTAGAATTGCTCATTGAGGACGGCTCTGTGGTGGAGCCCGCTGCCTGGTAAGTATGGAAGGAAGGGAACACAGCCTGGTGACAGAGGCTATTATGAGAAACAAACCCCATATAGACAGAAAGGATCAACTGTAGTGGCCATGTGAACAAGGTGGCTACACTATATTCCTGTCTTCTTGGTCATGGCTGGCTCAGAAATCCCCCTGCCCTGCCTCTGGAATGCATGGACCACCACACTAAGCCACCAGGGCGTTTCCTGGCTAAATGAGCCCAGGGGCTGAACAGAAGACTCAGCAGGCAAAAGTCGTGGCTGCTCATCCAGAGG